CCAGTTAGACAATAGTGTATGTATAGTCGGTCGCACTATTATTGGTGGTTTTCAGATTGTAGAAAGTAACGCAAATATAGAGAGTGTCCCCCAAAAATATGACATAATTTCGCAGGCCAATAATTTAGGCAATTCTTGTTGAAATAACTTCATATTTTCACAGAATGTATAGAAACATATATTTATATGTAATGTTTTAGTTTTGTTCTGTTTTCAGGTTGAGCTGTTCATTCCCAGAGAGAGAAGTAATTTTGCGTCTTGGAATCTGCTCACACACAGTCGCCCAAGACTGTGCAATCTTCAAAGTAAAATTTGGAAAAAGTTCACCAACTGGCAAACAAATGTGGACTTGGTACCAAAAATGTAAAGAGGAAGGCTGCTTATTCAGGGCTAAAGGATCTGGTAGACCCTCATCAAGTTCGTGGTTGAGCAAGTTCATGAAAAACTCCTGCGAAGCCCCAAGAAGTCTGTAGGGAGAACAAGTTTGGAAACCCAGATTCCTTGAATGACGGTTTGTTAGTGAAGTTTTTCCAAATTTTGTATTGAAGGCTGCAGAGTCTTGGGTGATTTTGTGTGAGCAGATTCCAAGATGCAAAATTACTTCTCTTTGAGAGTGAACAGCCTGGCTCAACCTGAAAACAGAACAAAAATATAACATAAATACATACATACATAATTACAAAAATATAAAATCATACATAAATATAAAATCTTGATCTGTTTCTATAGGCGAGTTTCAGCTGACGTCATTGTTATTAAAAGCCCGCGTTGCATGCTGGGAAATATTTTGGTCGGAGGCAAGAAACACGATAGCGTCAAACACAGTGCGTAACCTCGCGTATTTATCCCCGATAATGGTAAATTCCTGCTGCATTATCGGATGCACAAACAGGAAGCACGGAAGAAGGAAAATGTCTTTTTCGTATTCTGAGTGAAAAGAACCCACTAACGGCGAATTAAACGGCTTTCAAACATTCGCAGAGCAAACGTAGAAGATCCTAGCAAACCGTGGACTCCAACAAGTTCAACAACACATCGAGACTCTTGGAGGTTTTCATCTTTTCTGCTGTGAATGGCCCAGGAGTTTCCACCAAGTCATTGTGGATATCGCCGAAGTGAATATTTGGCCAGGTAGTTGGCGATTCTGACCAGAAATTTGGTTTGGTCCACCTTTTGTCGGGGTTGAAAAGGGTGATTTGGCTCCATCGATGCTTATGACCAATTTCTGGTCAAATGGTCTTGGGTCCTCTGCCGTTAGAGTGGATAAATAACCGGGATCAATACCCTTTACGTGCTTTCTCGCTCCATCCGTCATGTTGAATTAGTGTTTATTGCCACTGACCAAAATAATTCCCAGCATGCAACGCGCGCTTTTGTCAACAATGAAACTCGCCTATACACAGGCCCGTTTCAAGGTATTTGGGGGCCCTAGGCAAAGGGGCACCTGTGGCCCTGCAGGCGAAGACCCTATGGGCACCTACCAAGTAACATTAACACAATATCAAATGTTTACAGTGTAGACACATGTACAAATAACCTCAAAAGGCAATTAAATAAATAATTATGACTAAACCTCTAGCTCTATTCTAGTGTTTCCTAAAGTGTTTCTCAAAAATTGCTTGTTTTGCATTCCCTCGAGTACGTACGAGACATTGCGATGAAAGCTATGCCACCCTCACTGAAACTAACACATGAACTAGAGCCCTGCAAATGGCCAATTCAAAATGCTCGACCTACTACAAAGCCAAGCAATCACCTGCACCTTTTTTAGACCCTCACCCACAGTTTGAGAATCCCTTCTTTAAGAGAACTATATAATGGCACTGGCACTTTACAGAAAACTGAGAAGAAAGAGAAGAAAGTGGGTAGGATTTTTAAATCTGTTTTTTCAAATTCCTGACTGGAGTTACATTCTTTTACTGGTTTTACAGTGGGATTTAGCCTCTGCACATTTATCAAACCAAACGCACGTCGTGACAAACACAGATGCATTTGTGCTCTTTTATAAGGAAAAATTCAGCCACATGTCGCGGTAGTTCTGCTTTGTACTGTACAATGTATAGACTATACATTGTGTGAAAATTTGAGGTTATTTCAACAAGAATTGCCTAAATCACAGGTGTCAAACATAAGGCCCAGGGGCCAAATCCGGCCCTCCAAGACCTTTAATCTGGCCCTCGGCTTATTTTCTACTAAAATTTTGTAATTATATTTTCTATTAAAATATTGGTAATTTTCTGCGCCGCTTAGCACAGCAGCATCTCCAGAGCCTCTGTACGTGGCCCCTCCCACCAGAGCAGCACAAATGAAGACTTGTCTCTTTCCAAACGCTCTTAAAAGGACGATCGTTTTGACTGTTGACCGTGACACCCTCATCAGAAAAATGTCAAAAATGAGAAAAGTGGAGCCGAGTGCAGGATTTTCCACGAAACACTGACTTATTCCTATTTGCATACAAGTTAATGTTAAAACATTGTGTTGAAATTGCATTTTTCTTAAAGTTTCAGGTTGTTCATAATATTATAATATTTTGTAAAAGAAAGAGTTCATAAATTAAAAAAAGATTTCTGTAATAGATTTGTGAATTTCTCTGCACAAATATTTGAACTTATTGCTATTTTTGGGGCCATATATGTCATGAGTTTTCTGATCCGGCCCCTTTGGGATCAAAGTAGGTTGGATACAGCCCTCGGACCAAAATGAGTTTGACACCCCTGGCCTAAATTATTGGCCAGCGAAATGATGTAAATTTTTTGGGACACCCTGTATTTCTTTTATGCTTTGAATGATAAAAAGTTGTCAAAATTTAGTCTAAGAAAAGGTTTTGAAATGAAATGAACTGATTACATGAACCTGATTGTTTACATTGAACCTGGTATTAGTATAAGTGTAATAGTAATAGTATAATATTATAGTACCTGATGATAATACAATAAAAATCTGTAATTTTTCTGATAGAAGGTCCACTCTGCACTCGCCTCAATAGAGAAGTCGCTCGGTCTGAAATAAACCAGTGGCATTAAACTTATGTATCTTGCATTTGTAGAATTACAGGTATTTTTATTGCTTGCATTACTCGAGCCAGATAAGTTGAATGCCATACTCGGTGGAGAGAAGCAGCTGGCAGACTCCCCACCAGAAAAGTTACATAGTGTGCCTTTAACAATCTTAATTTTATTTACCCCCAGGCTCCATTACAAGCTAGAGAATGTCTTATGTCATCCGAGACTGTAAACTGTATGTATAAATGGACATGGGTAACCCGCTAGCCGCCACGGTCCAAATAGGAAGTGAGCATGGGCGCGCTTCTGGCTCCAACGACTCTGACTCTAATTCATTTTGTATTGGGAAAAAAAAAAAAAAAAAAAAGTCACCCCCTGCTGCAGTGAGCCTCATTATTTTGGTCTTAAAATATTTGTATTAACCCACTCTACAATGCATTTTTTCACTATTTTGCCCATAAATCAATTCCTAATATGAAACTTGACTCTTGACAGATTTGCTCCTATAACCACTAGCCTCCATGAGCTTAATTTGACTGGTGCCAAGTGCTATGGATGGCATCACACTCCTTTACACAGTCTATGTGTGAGATCCAGCATTAAGTACATGGTTGGGGGCTTAAAGGAGACATATTACGCAAATTAGACTTTTAAGAGCCTTTTAATCATGTTATATTTTTTCCCCACACACAAAGTTTTATTTAGAGTGATTCATGAATGTTTGAGTAAATGTTTATTCTCCAGGATGAGATCATTACCACAGATTTAAACCTGGACGTCAGCAGAAGTTGTTTTTATTTATTGATTAACAATGTCCAAACTATAACATGATCTACTGCCATTAGATTATAACTATATATATCTCTCTATATGATATTATCACGATATGCATCTCACGGTATGATATTAATTGTGATATTTTGAAGAGGCTACTATAACTGTAGATGGGACACTTTTTTGCTTTTAAAATACGTTGACAAGATTTTGGTGTGAATTATTTCCATCATAATCTCAAGAATTCAAGTAAAAAACATATTTCTTCATGTTTTCTGCACTGAAATGAATAAGCTGTTGCTACTATAAAACTATGAATTTAAGCAAAGGAATTTGTGATTCGATATATTGTGACAGCCCACGATATTATTGTGAGACTTTTGACGATACGATATCACAATATTTTGGTTATTGTTACACTCCGAGAAGGCACTGCTATGTCTGAAGCTCTGTTACTCAAGTTAGACTTCAATCTGAGCTTTAAGTTAACACAATCTGACCATGAAGTAAAATGATTTGTGCTTTGTGCTGTTCAACAAGTTCCTCTAAACCATTACTTTTTTTTTTTTTGACTTCTGCAAATGTGTTTCTAAAGCATTGTTTCCCAAAGACTGGGTCACAAAAGTTTTTCTTTGGGTCGCCTTGTCATGATCTGCATGTAGGTTGAAATGCTAAGACATGTTTGTATAATTTCTAACCTTTTTGTAATTATTTTATTAACTATTTTGTTCCAGTATTGCTGGTTCAATGGAATGCTGAAAAGAAAAAGAAATGTTCTACATTTAATGTCCAAATAGGCGACTTATGGATCTTTTTATTGCTGCTTCATTGACTGTTTTTCATTGTTTAAAACTTGAGTAATAAGAATTGTTCAGAGACTCGATCACTCAGTCAACAATAAAATATCCTCATTAATGTTCAATAATTTTCCCACCTTTATTTTGTGAATTACAAATAATGTCTATTGACTTTGGTTGAGAGGTTTTGTGACTTTTAAAATATGGGTCCCCAGGAAAAAAGTAATGTTGTACGTTTCTTGAGCTTTCAGATGATCTTAAAAGTTATCTGGCTTTGTGTGTGCATTGTATCACCATGGAAACTGCAGAATATTTCACCGTAGATGTACACGCAGCACACCCACAGAGTAATGTCACTGCAAAGCATCAATTACAAATAAAAGCACAATATTCATACTGGTATTAGAATAAAAAGGCGGAGTCAGGCTGAAGTTTCGGGCCAGTGTAGATTACACTTAACAGTTTTATTTGGAATATTAAGACAATGAAGCATAAGCCAAGCACCAATAGTGACAGCTACAAGTGTCATAGCATCATACGGCTCTTTCAAATGAACAGGTATTTACCGGAGAAAAAACAACAACTTTCATTGTCTTTTAACCAACGGTGAAGCAGTTACATTGAACAGACTGTGAAATGTGACCAATGTTTATGCCATTTACACGCTCCAGTCCTATACCTGACATCGGAGAGAAAGAGAGGGAACCAAGAGCAAGGAACAATGGGACAATTATTTGTAAATTTAGCTTCGTTAGCCTGGTCTGAAATCAGCTTCTGTGGTAGGTTGCGTTCACGATATTCTATAATTCGATGTTGTAATTTAGGATGGAGGTCAGGGGACTTTGTAACTCACTGTTTTTTGAAAGAAATATCCAAATAGAGAAACAAATTTAACATTTTTGGTTAAGAAACGGCCCAAAAATTCCACATGTTGATTATGCCTGGGTGAAAAAGGCCACCACTTTTAAATACAACAGCAAAAAAACTAAATTCACCTTATTTATTTTTGCAAACAGAACATTTTGAACTTTGTGCCAGTTTTTATTTCATGTGGATAGGCCCATAAACCAGGACAAAACTGCAATTTGAAAGTTAAAACGCAAATTCTACCTTAAAATTCTCCCCTGCCCTCCAACTCAATAAAAATTTTGGATAATATAAAACGTTGAATGAACACAACCTATTAGCTTCGGTTGCCAGGTCTTAAATCGGCTTCAGTGATTGGTTGAAACGGCAGTCCCATGACAACAACCACGTCCTATAATAGTCCTCTTTTTCTTTCACATCCAGACAAACTTTTGTGCACATTCAGCATAAAGTGACGGGATTTCAACCATACCAACTCCGTATTTGCATAAGAGATCAGGAAAAATAATTACTCTACATAATTTTTTTTAATAGCACCTCTTAAATATATATGGGAAACATGAACTTTTTAAAATATCTTCTTAAAATTTGTCGTACCTTTAAAATGCTGTGGCAAAACTATAAGGACCAGACCCAGCTTTGAGGCTCTGTTAGGTTAGATAAATAGTTTCTTATTATTGACAATAAAAGATTTTCATGGCATTTTTCTCCATTGGGAACAGAGAATTCAAGTTGACAGCTTTTGTGGCGTGGACCTCTTTTCCACTGAGTTTGGGCTCTGTTCTTTGATTTTGAAACTACCATTTTAAGGTTACAGTTTTGAGATTATTTAAAAACAATGGGTTCTTTGAAACGAATGTAAAATTGTAATAAGGACTGTCATAAGCTGTAATGTAGAATTCATCTGAGAAATACAAATGGTTGGCCTGATTTTCACCGACTTCTCCAGGAAAGAAAGTTCTGGTATTTGGTTTTAAATGAAAAAAAGGTGAGTACACATTATAATTCTCAAATAATTCTAGGGTTAAGGGATGATTAATAGGTTATCTGTGATACTGAAGGATTTCCAGATATCGGTATTGGTCCAATATTAAAAAGTGTACCGATATTTGATATTTTGTTTGCCTTGTTTGTTATTTTAACAAAAGCGAAAAGTTAAAGAGTGAACTTGACTGTAACATAACATACATTTGGTCATTGATATGGATTTTAAAAGCTTAATATAAATCGGCAAATATCATTATTGGCCACAACTGCAAGACAAATATCGTATATCAGCTCAAAGAATCAATACTGGACCATCTTTAAGTTTTATACTATTAATTTACTATGATTAAGGTGGAAGATCTATAGGCCTAGACAACTTTATTTCGCTCGACAGCAGCTCAGAGTTTGGGAATCTCCCCAGAGAAGACAGTAAAATGTGAATTATGTGGACATTATTTGGCGTTGATACGTGGAAAAACTCAGATGGTATTGAAAAAAAAAGATAAAAATATGATAAAAACGGGCATGTCTTAGGTAAATACTGAGAAAAATTACAACAAAAAAGTTCAAATCTCAGCCCAGGAAGCAGCTTTTAGTTTATCTCAGTGGAAAAGAGGTCTTGGGAGAAAGCGGGGATTCTGGGTAATGTGGTCCATTTTACACACGCTTGGATTTAGTCAAGACTCCAGGTTTAGTCCAGGCTTAGGCTTTAGTCCTGGCGCTGGGTCTGGGTCTGGTTCGATGCGTGAGACAGTGGAAATGCAGGTGTCCTATCTCTTCTATCTGCAGCGCGTGTGCAAATGGGTTCATGACAGTTAATGCACCACAGAAAATATCGTCTTTTCATCAGGCTCCTATTACATATAATTCATCATTCGTCATACATACAAAGTCTTTTTATTCCTAACGCTAAGGGGTTATATGGCAAACATGTGCTACGGTTAATGTCACAAATTTCCCATGGGGAAAACGGGGCATGAGGGTCCGGGGGGTTGGACTCTCGAAGCGATGGGGTTGGGTAGGTGGGTGGGAGGGGGAGGCTGCCTGAGTTCACGGTGACGGGACAGGAGATGGGGGGAGGAAAAAGGGTGAGCGGGGTGAAAAAGGGGAAGAGGCAGAGGGGTGGTTCATACAGGAGTCAGAAAAGATCCCCTCACTCCCCTCTGCATCACAGGACCCTCCATGTGGCTCTGTCCAAGCACCAGTCTGCAGCACGACAACTTTACCCGGACTCTACACAGTAAAAAAGATTATCTACAGAAATTAAATGAAATCAGGGCATTATTAATCTAAATTCATTTCATATATATATAATTCAACAGTAGTATATTGTAGGACAGGGGTCTCCAACCTGTAGCTCTCCACTCCCTTCCAAGGAGCTCACCAAGGGATTTCTGAATTATACATAATGTGCTGAATAACTAAAATCTGATTATTAACCATTGTAAATTTATCATTTTGATGCTGAATTTCTGCACTCATGACTGGATAATGGTTTATGTTTTATAAGCTTTTAACTATGCCCCATATTTTCTCAATTTCTTGCAACTGCTAAAATTAGTAACTCTCATTTTTGTTTTTCTCATTTTTGGCATTTTTGTTTTGTAAAGGTAGCTCAGCACAGGAAAAAGGTTGGAGACCCTTGCGGTAGGAGAAGTATCTAAAAATGTAAATTTGATTAATAAAGACCATATACTCCTAGTCAGTAAACTCATCTTGCAATTTAGTGTTTGAAATAAAAGAATAAAGTGATATTTCTGAAATGTTGTACTTACTTTTACATATTAAAGACATTTGTGATCAACTGCCATAGTATTTATTTATCAATATTGCTCATCTGTAGTTAAAAAAGTTTGATTTCACTGCTTTCTTAAAATGTATAAACTGGAAATTGGTCATAAATGTCTTGAATTCTTACAAATTGAAAAAATAATAACAAGTACATACATCTAAATAAGTCAAATATTGTTCATCAAATCCAAGGTACTTTAAATTTATCCAGATAATCTTTTTTGCAGTGTAGACTTTAAATAATATTGAAATCTTTTGGACGAGTTAAAAAAAACGTGGCTAGAGTTTTCCCTATAAATATCCATACACTTTAAACTAATAAAACTGTTAACATAATATAAGTCCTGCAATTAAGAACGGATGTGTCCAAACATTTGGAAGTTGTACAAAAAAAATTACATTATATGGCAAGTAAAGTGCAGACTTCAAGTGTAAAAATGTGAATACTGAGCGATGCAAACCTACATCTTAGGTTCATAACGGATATACAGTTTGTTCAACGTATTGCAGATGTTTGGACTTTGAAATGTAAAATACAAAACTACAGGAACTATGTTAAGATAAATTAATGAATCTAAAGCTGAATAAACTGAGCCGTGAGGACTTGTGATTCAGGAAATATAGAAAATAACTCATCAGAAAAGTCCAATTTAAGTTTAAAAGCTTCAACGCTCGTGACTACTGGACGTAAAATTGTAGCTAAAGTCTATTTCTGAAACTTGATTAGGTGCAAAGTGAAAAAAATGTTTTGCTGTAGTTTCAAGTTTTCGAGATATTTTCAAATAAGGCTACAGCAATTGGATTCCCCGTATCTGGTAACCTGCACTGAGCCACTAGCAGCACTTGTAACTTTTTGAAAATTAATGAGAAATCTGCAGCTACTCTCGATGTTATTTTTGTCACCAGTTTTACTCCCAAATCTCGAAACGGTTAACTCTATCCGAAAACTTTGTGACTCCATTGTGCACTGTTCTGAAACGCTTTTCCCCGTGCTCTGACATTACTGAGAGCCCTTGTAAACTTAATCTCTCGCCCTGACAGTTTGAATAGCCCGGGACTGAGGGCACGGCGGGACAACTCAGCGCTCTAAATCACGTTCTTATCTGCGCGACGTAGACAGATGGAGCAGAAACAGGTGGGGGAGTTACGAAAAATGGCCTCCTGCAGTCACATAGCGGCCTCTGAGAATTAATACCCCGCTTGGAGAAACGGAGCGGTGATTATGGGGCGCAGGAGAGAGGTGAGGGTAGGTCTGTGTCACGATAACAAATTTCGACGTGCGATATATTTAGGGCCGTAGTGCAATAATGAAATTCCTGGTTGACTAAAGATGGGTGAGTCGATTTTAAAAAGGGGCGTGGCAAGAGCTCTCAAAACTATTGCGTATCTCTGACCCAAAACTGCAACTATTTATGCAGAATAAAGTACTAAAAATGATGTATTTATATAACGACAGATTAAACTTGTGAATTATAAGAGTTTAATCTGCCTTTTTCCATACAGATACAAAAAAAAAACAACAAATATTCATTGTGAGACTGTTAAAAAGTCATATATCGCACTTCAAATTTGTTATCGTGTTCAGATTGAGCTTTGCCTATGTTTTTCTATGGGAAAATATAATGGGAAAATGGCTATACTTTGCTATTAAGTTGTTATTTTTTTCAAGTACATATGTAACAGACAGTCTACCATAGTTGTGTTATACTGAATTAACATCATCTGTCAATTATTTAACGGTATATTTTGGTCAATCTTGCGCCGTATCATTCTGGGCTCACTCATTTGTAAGGCCAATGGATGCAATACATTAAATATTACTGAGGGATGATAAGTTGCTGTCAAGAACTTGCTCGTGACAGATCTACACATTGGAGGAGGGTTGGGTGGCTCTGTGGAAAACGGGATACTCTGTGTTCATGAATAATGCCTTGTCATTAGTCCTAATATCCGGTGTGTATCATAGACTCATATGCAGTGAAATATGAGCCCGTCTGAGACCTCCAGCCGAACTTTTCCGGTTTGTGATCTCATCAATATTTCACATTTATGCCACAGTTTTACCTGCTGCTCTCTCCCTCCCCCATAACACAGATCTGAATGAACCACTCAGCTGCTCTCTAAACTCATGTATTAATAAAATATGAGATTTATCAAGATAAAGTCATTACAGATTCACTTACTTGACTAGATCCAAAGTAATTGTAAACTGACTGAATATGGGCTAATACAGCCAGACTTCAACATAGCTACTTTTAAACTACGCAACATAATGTTTAAAAGTATGTCATGTGCTTTGATATTGGCAATGAAAATCTGTGCAGTAGCTTCCTCTTTGGGAGTGCCACCGGAGCACGCTGAAGTAAATGAACCGAGTGCTGCTTTAGTAGAAAGTGGAGTTGAAGATAATCTTGTTATAAGTAGGACGCTGCAGACTGATCCATTATTTAACACAATTAAAGCGACTTTTGTTAATGTTTCTTTTCCCTGAAGCAAAGCCTTCACCTCTCAGAGATTAGCACCAAATGTAACACTGCAGTCACATGATTTAGAACACTATCTAAAATAATTCAAACGCGATCAATACAACTTTTAGTCTTCATTATTTCTAGGACCAACAATATTTCTGCGCGGTGTTTTAGATCTGTCTGATTATAATAATTACCCTACTTAACCCCCCCTCGTGGTGTCTGCAGAGGAGCAGAGCCTGATGCAACTCGGTGCTTAAAGACAAAGACATGGAGAGTGCACTGTACAGATGTGACCACCGGGGTGTCAGGGAGGCATGCAGGTCACAGGCAGGTGGCGCTGTGGGGTCAGGCAGACATTTAGCACAAAATGAAGAGAAAAAACACAAAGTGCTGATATTTGTGCCTTCCCTCGCTCTCAAAGAAAACCTGTTACACAAGCCGTGTGCTTGCCGTTATACTGAGTATAATCATATGTATTTGTGATGTAAGTAATAACTAAAGATTAGAATGAATCTGGTATAGCTTGTTACATTTAATTCCCACCAGAGCCGTAGCCTCCTGATCAGGAACATCTCTAGTTCAATTAATCTCAGACTATTTGAGCTTAAGCGGAGGCTCTCGCTCCAGCCAGCGCACTCGTACTTTCTGTTTGTAATGATACTCCTTTAGGAAGTCCTGCAGCGCGGGCGGCAGAGGCAGCGCCCCGATGCCGTCGTATGAGGTCCGGCGGCAGATGGCGGCGCGCGCCAAGTGCTGCAGCGAGAAGGGGAAGGTCCGGTGCAGCGGAGCGGTCAGCAGAGGCTCAAAGAACATGCAGGCGCTGGGGTCCTTATAGTGCTCCAACAGCCCCGTGACCGTGGTCGAGTGGAACACGCACGGGTCGTGAGCGTCGAAGCTGAAGTTATGGTTCCACTGCTCGATGCGCGCGTGTAGCGAGCGATTGTAGCGACGGAAGCTAACAGAGAACAGGTAATCCTCCTGTGCAGAGTCCCGCAGCAGAAAGGTGCCCTCAGGCCGGCCGTCCAGCAGAGCCTCTGCCTCGTAGCGGTCCATGACGCCCCAGTAACAGGGCAGCGCGCTGATCTGCAGCAGGTCTGGCACCAGGCAGTGGATGTAGTCTATCTGAGTGTGCACCTTCCAGGGCCCTGGCTGCTGCCGGCTGTGGCCCTCCCCCGAGGCGTGCCTCTGTCTGGGGCGTCGTGCCTGGAGGCACAGGGTGGTGGAGTCCTCCTCAGAGTCACAGTCCTGAGACGAGGCCCCAGCGGCCCCCGAGCGGCCCTCGGCCTCTGCCAGACCGGGGGTCATCTTTGGTCCCAGTTTGTAGAGTGTGGAGGAGGGAACGGAGGCCTCCAGGGTGTGGATCTGGGCGTTGGGGGGCGGGTCCACACCCTCCTCGATGCTGAGGCGACGCCGCTCACGCAGACGCTCCTCCTCGTCCTCCGGAGACGGTTGTCCCGGGTCAAAGGCGTCCAGCAGAGCTGTGGAGGAGTGGGGGCTCACGGGCGCCGTGTGCTGTTTGATCAAGTGCCACTTATGGGCCAGGTCCGACCCCGGGGGGAAGGGGCAGGTCTCCAGCATTAGCTCTGTTAGATGGATCTTTCGTTTGGTGGAGATGGGGGACTTGGCTGAGCGGGAGCGCCTGTGCGTGGGCAGAGGTAAGCACAAGCCCACCGTGTCACTGAGGCGCTGTCTGAGGGTCCGGCCGTTGACCCCTCGGCCTGGGACAGAGTCGCACATTTCTGGGGCCGAGCTGACCCCATAACGCCTCTCTCTGCGGCTGCTCCTCAGCCTGCCAGAGCGGCCCTCCAGAGAGCTCTGAGTTTTGGTGGAACATGAGTGTTTTTTCTTGCCACCCCATGGCGCGTGCCGAGAGTACGAGTCTCTACGGGCCAGGGCCACGCCCGCCCCTCCTCGTAAATCCTCTGTGTCCTTGTCTATGGAGATCTCTACTATCTGCGGGATGTCCGACACACAGTTGTGATGGCGCCGCCCTGTGGCGGCTGGGGCAGGCTGCGGGCTCCGTGCTGGGCTGGAGGGTGTGGAGGGTGGTGGTTCAGAGGGGCTCAGCTCCACCACACAGTGCACCTCCTCAGCCTCAGGACGGCCCTCTGCTGCGGCACTGCTGCTGTGAAACAGGGTCTGACATCTGCTCTTCAGGTTACTCCACATGGTCCCTCTGTGCTCAGAGCTGCTGGGACCTGCAGGAGACAGGAAGATCAGAGTCAGACACAAGCTTATAGTGGGCGCACATCAATGGACAATGGAACTGTTTAGAGAAGGAATTCAACAGAAATAACTCAGACTCAGTGATTTGATCAATGACTGATTGATCATATCACTGATTAAAAGTTATTTGTTTCTAAACTTCACATGAAATCTGTGACACAGACTTTGGAGCAGCTCCGTAGCCCCAGGTTCAGAGCATGCAGAATGTTCTACATTTAAATTCCCCAGACTGCTGTGTATCTAGTAATTAGACATGGTTTGGGCGCTGGTGTGAGAGGAGAGGGAGTCGAGCGTGAGGAGTTGCCAGGCAGACGTGCAGCAGCACAAGGCCACAGCTATAAATGAACGGGGATCTGCTCACAGCTGATGTGAGGTATGTACTGTATTACTGAGCCAGTCTAGACCTGACCAGGCCTGGCTCTAACACACACCCTGCTGCTGCTGATTTATCTCTCAAACAGTAGTTGACATGTATTTGGACGTGTAGCCTCGTCACAGTGTTGACACATGAAGCACATTATACAACCACCAGCCACCGGGAAGGCGCTACCCCAGACACAACCACTTTATGGGCATCTAGACATTTTTGTTGGATAATTGTTACTGACAAAAAGCCAGTCCCTGCAGGAAATGGGACAGCCAATTACCACGACATGCTGACTCTGCAACTTCTTATTTTAATTGATGGAGCGTTCAGCATAAATCTAACAGCTATAAATTTTGCTGTCAGGGCCAAAAGAGCTGCCTATCTTTCCTTTGTCTGGGTTCAGTGCACTTGGCTTCATTTTTGTTCTAATTACATCCTTCATTTTGCCTTCTTTGACCAAACTAATTCACTGTTTAATAATACTGCACAAAGAATGAAAATCTGGATCTGGAAAAGATATGTTCAGGGCAAGCAAGCTAAACGAACAAGAAAGTCTCAATAAATCAGCGAAAAATAAAATAAATAGAATAAAGTAAAGTAAAAAGAAAATCTAATATCTATTATAATGTATTGGATTGGAGGCATTTTTGATATTACCATTAATAATTCACAAAAAATACATATAAGTAAATACATTTTACTAATTTACAAGAGAAAAAAAGTTCAGTACTGCAGCTATAATGGGATTTAGTACTTTTCGTTTTCAGGTTAAAACTAGTTTAAGCATGAATCACCTAATAGCACCTCAGCCTCTCGTCTGCCATCCAGGAACTTTGGCCCACAGCGTCGATCAAAGACTCCAGATATTTGTTCAACCAGATTTAATACAGTCAAATCTGAGTCTGAAATCTCTGAGCATATAATGATAATAAATGATGAGTAGCTAAACTTCCTGAGGCTCTTTGAATCAATCCACAAAAAACAATAAAAAAAACTATGTGCAAAGGAAGGTCTGGTAACTTCTATACTTATCTTTCTCATTTACCCAAGACGATGACAGACTATTAATGATTACAGTTCATACTCTGCGGCTGACGTCATCGACAGCCCCTGGGGGTGTGACGCTAACTAGAGGCTCTGCTCTGTCTGAGGATTTATTAAGACTTTAATCTACGTTTTATTTTAACTCAACCTGACTGTAAAGAACCGACTTAGCTGGAACTATAACAGGTGAGATGATTTGTGCTGTTAAACACAAAGTACTGGAACAAAAGTGGTGTGCAAAAATACTGAAATATTAATAAATCGAATCGTTTAATGTGATGATACAGTATCGATATCATGGTTGTTGTATCAATATATCGCCAAGAGTGTTTTTTGGTATGTTTTACCCGCTGGTGTCACCTAGTGCCTCCGCTCAATTTCATTTCTTTCCAGCGACTAGGTCAGGAATCGGAATACACTAGACGTTTTGCAAGAACCCCAGAAGTGCGAGTTCAGCACCAGCCAATCAGCAAAGAGCCATACATTCTGTGGTGGCAACGATTCCTGAGATCGAGGATTTAAAGTCGGAACAAAGAGAAAGTTTGGTGAATATTATCAAAGGGAAAGACGTTATTGCCCTTCTTCCTACGAGATTTGGGAAAAGCTTAATATAATTAGCCCCGTTGGCAGCGCATTGCATACGTCACGACCAAATAGCAGCGATTGGTTAAATAAAAAAGTACCTGCCTACTGCGAGCGAACGAATTCTAATGCAGCGAGGTCAGACGGTTTCCACGAAGTGAAACCAGCTGATGGTGAATCGGGCTAGCTCGAGCGCTCCAGAGTAAAGCAAAATAAATAAGGCTAATACAAAAGTTGTCAATTATATCAAACATAGCTATCTAAAATTATAGTAACCAAATCTTTGTCATTTTTTGCCCTAACAACATGAATATTGGCACTACACACACCCGTACCATTAGGATGACACCCTCCAATTTGAGTTCAGTCAGATGGGCAGTTTGAGAGTTACGCATGGAACAGACACGCAGACAAACGCTCCTTGCATTATTAGATAAGATTATTTTGTTACAGCGCTACAGTTTTGTCATTTGTTTAGTGGAAGGAAACTCGTTCATGCAACATTTTCACTATTTTGATCATTAAAATGGGCGTGTTTCAGATGAACTTTGCACAAGAAGTGATTTAACAAAGACTTTTAATGCCACGCCACGACTTATTTTTATTGAACCGCATTTGAAATATATCATATCGAATCGAAAGTGCACTGTATCGAGATATGTATCGTATCGGCAACTTCTTAACGATACCCAGCCGTTTTCACACAGTTCTCAGTTACTCTCATTCACCTTTTTTGTTGAAAATCAAACACCTAAACAGGACCATGAACACTCGTATTGATCACAGGCTCCTGAAAATGTGTTATTTAAATCCATTGTCTTTTTTCTTGAGTTTTCAGACAATCTTAAAGTTTTTTGACAATAATTGTTACTGCGTGTGTGTATTGTGTCACCTTGGTAAACTTTCCACTATTAGTATTACACCCCCAGTGTGTTGTCAAGTATCAATTTGGACCACACAACTTGAATGCAGTAGCTATTTATTTTATTAATGAGGAAATTATGAGGAAATTACCACTGTTGTTAAATATAATAGTCCTGATTAAATGAACTGACTTCTTCTTTTGCATCTTTTTACAATGTATTTCCATGTCCAACTGTAAGGCAAACAATCCGCACCATAATAATGTAAAATCACCTAAATATCCAGTACTGTTTTTCATCTGGCAGACAAAAAATATATTCGATTAGAACTTCAGTCTTGCTTGTCCTGGTTCAGTTTCACAAATTAACATATTACACAGTCATTGTAAGTCCAACAGTGTAGCAGAATATTAAACATAACTTCATCAAATATCACAATTTCCTGACATTATGCAGCCCTGCTACAAAAAAGAGAGAGCCAAGTCCAATATGTACATTAAACAGGTCAAAGGCCAAAGGAACAAGATTTCTTCATGCTAAAAAATGCTACTAAAATTATACTGATTCATTTTAGAGAACGACTGATATGGATTTTTCCTGTCCAGAAAAAACAATAAACTCTACAGATATTTTTTTAGGAGATATGTGGGGCAGATTTTGGTCATTTTGTCCAAATTATCTAATTTTATTTCAGTACAAACTCAAACTTGTTTTACTGCAAACATAAGAGAGCAGTGTAGTCACATTCTTGCCGTACCCTCTTTGGACTAAAATGTTAGAATAAATAAATAAAGCTTTATGCATATATTCTTCATGCATATTTAGGCAGCTGCTTGGGCCAAACTAAATATCGGCCTTCGCTAGAGATTTAAGACTAATAGCTGATACAAAAAAAAAGTAAAAAGTGCAAATATCGACCAGCAGATGTATTGGTCTGTCTAATTTATTTCATTATTTCAGTTAGAGGAGGACTGGAGCCTAACGGAGCAACTACTGAAAACTCAGTTGATTCATTCTTTCATAAATGCCATTGATTTGATCCGACTCTAATTCAAAGCCACTTAAAGGTGCATGGTGGAACTTTTTCTGTTGGGGACTCTTCATGGAGATGCTCTTGTCTTGAATGTTCTTCCGGTGTAGCATTTAACTTTTCTATGTTGCTTTTTTCAATTACAATTATAGTTTTCATTAACAAAATAACCTTTTTGGCATCTCCTTGTCTCCATGACGATATATGTTTAATGCCATACTAAGAAACATCTTCAAGGAGACCGTTGCAGACCCTTCACCACAAAAGTTTCACAGTACACTTTTAAGATTTGCTTTTCCTTCCTTTAAGTCTTGCATAATTTCTGTCTAAAGAGAAGGATGCAGAGCTGCCCGAGAAAGTGCTGATGCACTCTCATACTGTAACTTCACACCGCGCCAGGTCCAATGTAAACGTAAAACACCTTTTATCACGAAATCTGAAAACGCCTGAATTTTCCAGTGAGGTTAGCATTCGACTTCAGTTAGCTGCACACCTAACAATACCAACCACTGTGATAGGGAGTTCAGTGAGAAGAGCCCAATCCCTGCTACAAAAAATACTGTGTACAGTTTATTGATTGATTGATAACTCAGTATAGTAATTATCCAAACAGGCCTACTCCATCTTCTAATTTGCATAACTTGAAAATAATAATTATCTTGTAGAAAAGGGGTGCCCAAAATTTTTCTCTTGAGTCGAGGGCCAAACCAAATGTCTGCACATAAAATGTCCTTCTGCAAATAAATTAATGTATAATTAAATTGACTTTGAATATTAGGAAAACAGGACTGGCCTCTTTTCCATCTCCAGACTGTCTTCAATACAAAATTTAATCAAAATAGATTATTCTTAGATTCTAGGAATAATCAAAATCTTATTAAGACTAATAATATAATCTAATTATAATTAGAATAATCTAATTTGGCCTGTGACAAATTATACCCCCTGGGGGCCAAGTTTAGGCACCTCTGTTGTAGTAGATAATATATCACCCACCCTCGAGTTGCACATATATTCTTATTCAAATGTAGTAAATCATTTGTCTTATAGTCGTTGGACGGCAGCCAGACTCTGTGCCAGGCCTTCACCTCTGTGTGAACTGCTGAGCCGCTCCACTCCACTATTCATCTGTACTTAAAGGCACACTATGAAACTTTTCTAGTGGGGGGTGATGCTGTGAGGCCATGTTACATGTCAGATCTGTGGAGAGGCAACCCCACTCATAGCTTTTCATGCTTCACTGAGATTAATTTGGTCTTCTGATATTTTATGTTATTAGCTTCTTTTTAAAGACCAAGAGTTTGTTTTTCATACCAAATAATAAATTAAAAATGATTTGACAAATAATGCTCTTACAATGGAGGAAGACCGCGAGTGAGCAGTCGAAACTGTCAGGTATAAAAAACAAACTCCTGGTCTGTAAAAAGAACATAATAACATAACTTTTCATGATAATAAAACACCTGTAACAAGCAGGATAGATATGTTTAATGCCATAGTGCGGAACGTTCCAGGTAGAGTAATAACGGAGAGAACTCCTCACCAGAAAAGCGACACAGTGCACCTTTAAAACACAGTAATGGCAGAAAATAGATGTTCTTGGTCTTGAATCAAATAACGCTGCTATTATTCATCATGCACCCTCTAAAACAGCTTGGAGCATGCAGCTATTAGAGTGACTCATGTTGAGTTGTGGAAATGAGTACAATTTGTATGTGAGGGCTTTGGTCCAGCACAATAGAGAAGAAATGCCAATGATTAATGCAGCCAAGATTTGCACCAATTCAAATGCCCAAAAGTGTAGTATGGGAAACTCATTTGAATGGCATTCTAATAATTACTTAATTTCACCATATGCTTAAATTATAACAGTGTAAACGAACAACAAACTCTGCAAATTCTACTAGAGACAGAACCAACGTGACATAAAACCTCCTCAAGAACAGACCTGGATTTGTGTTTTGTTTCATTCACACATGTTTGAGTAACACTTCATTATTATTATTAGTCTGTCTACATCTGCAGAGCTCAAAATGCTGTTCCACCTTGTGATGTCATGAAGCGATAGTTTTCAAGTTAACATCTACCTTTTAATTTTAGTTCAACAGAAATTGGCAATTCTAGGGCTGAAATTATCCAAATTATTACAGTGCAGTTGCATGGAGTTTAAAAACATAGTGGAGCACTTCCTGTATTACTGCATGATGTCACAAGGTGGAACAGGGTGTTTTCTGTCTGAGAGAAAAACGGCAAAAATGTGTGCGTGTCAGAAATGTGCGAATGAAACCAAACTCTGAGTATGTTTTGATGAAGAAACGACAATATAACATAGATCATAATTAGTGCAATAGACGGACTTTAATTGAATAACATAAATAAAATAAATATCACAATTAAAAACACTGATAATACACTAATTTGGGCAATAATAACCAAAGTAATCTATCCTGTATTTTAAAACGTATGAATTTATCCAAAAAGTCTAAACCATGTTGATGTCTTACTGCTTTATCTGAGTAAATCCTTTTTTTTCTCAGCATGCAGCATGGTAGTTCAAATAACAATCATTCAGTCGCTAAACCAGTTACAATTATTGCAATAATTGATTAGCAGAGATTCAACCAATTAAATATTCCAACCCTAAGTTCAAAGCATGCCAGTCTTGAATGCAGCTCTCCAGTGGCATCCCAAATAAGAGGCGGCATGTGGCTGGAACCGTCTCCTCGTCTCAGCAAAGTCAGGATTAATAATTTAAACAATGCCTAGCCTATATAATCCTCCCTGTATGTGGCATTGATAACAAAACGCCACGCCAGCCGAGTGACCCAGTCTTTCTGCGAGCTGCTCAAAAGCCCAAAGTGGAAAATACAAATAGTTTTAGGCCAAGTCCAACACACACCCATTCTCCAGGGATCACAGTGAGCGCAGCAAAAGAACTGGAGAGGAGACAAGATTAAGGGAGGACGCCTTTAGACCGACCACAGCTAACGAGATACGAGCGGGTGTCATGCATTCGTAAAGATATAAGCGGCGCTAATATGGATAATGACAACTAGGCGTGACTCTGACAGGGGTAATTGGTTTATCAATTTCTCATGATTATCAGCAGAAATTACTGAAAATATACAAATAATCTTTACAGCGGGGCATCAAATTTAGCAACTGTTCCCAAAGATCTTAAGATAATTGTTACACTGAAAAATTAGCTCATAAAACGCACGTCTTTTGCAGCCAACATATGAATAAAGTTATTATAGGAAATTTATTAAGGTGAAATGCTGGTGAAACACATATAGATGTTGGAAAGAATTCCTACTATAGTGTTTCCCAGAATAAATCTCAATGTTGAGCTTTCAAATTGTCATATTGTTATTGCAATGTTCAACTATGTAAAGCATGTTTTCTTAATTTAGTGCAGGTCTTTAGCCCCGTCATTCAAAACAGTGTTGTCATGAAGCCAAACAGAATCCTGTTCAATTAGTCGGGCACATGTTCAGACCCCAAAGCCCTTTCCCATGTATAATTATAATTTTTTGGGATAAATGTAGGCTATAACTTTTAACACATCATTTAAATTTATTGCAACTTGTTACTACTGTCATTCATACATCATTCAAGTCAGAAAAGTCTTGAGTATATGAATAAGAACAGTATCACAAAGCTATAATAAGATAACAAATAATAACAAATCTAGAGAACAGTGAAACGTGCACTAAAACCTGACTACTTCATTACAGATAGTCCAAAAATCTTAAACTTAAATGATCAAAATGAAAATCTTCCACAGAAACAACCCTCTATAATACAAAAGTAACAACTGTGCAGTAACCGTGGCATGAATGCTTACATATGATGCAGAGCCCCTAGTGATTATCCTGCCACATCTCCAGGGAACCACCTATTAAGGTAAAGTTTGTTATATCAGGGATATGATAGCGGGACCAAGGCCTTTTGGGCTTAAGGAGGCCTCATAGCATCCACAGTCAATCCCTCTGTGTAGCTCCGGCCGCTTCAAACGCTTCTCTACAAAGTTCATCTGCCAGATTTGCATGGCAGCTCAAATAACCACAACTACAGCGCCTCCGATAACAAAACAAATGCAGGTTTTATTGTGTATTCGCTAGAAAACACCATTATATCCAGTCTGTCAAAATGCTAAGCAGGACTCTGGAGAATGGGACTGCAGCTACCCAATTCGCGTCACTGCCCGATTAGCCTCAAGACGTGCTCTGCGCATGCGTCCGCTACTTTACCATCCCGGGTACGGCGGCGCAACACGGACAAAACTGCTCAAGAATCAAGTTAGATCTTATTCTAAACTAAAATAATCTTCTGTTTCGTCATATATAACAGCTTTGTCAATAAATAACACAACTAAAACAATTGGAAACGAAAAAAACAAGACTAAACGGCAGAGATTGAGAGTTCTTGCACGCGGATTTTAACACCTAAATTTCAAAAAACTACGGATATTTGCATAATCTGGCCTCGATTATACTCTAATTGTTTTACGTTTTGGACAGAAAGTGGTTAATTCTAAATATTACAGTGTTATAACTGTTTTTTGTTAAAGCCAGCAGCACGCCTGACGCAAATCGGGTAGTGACAGGGATATTAGCATGTTAGCTCGGGAAAAATCGACGGAGAAAATTACACAACTAAGTTTAGCGGCTGTGCAACGCCGATATAAGCCGAACAGACAAGCGTGCCATGCGGGGTAGGTGCGGGATTCTTTCTGGAAATGATGACTTACCCGTGTGCCTCTTTGAAAGCACTATTCAACAGCTTTCTTTGTCTGCAAAAAATGGCTATTAAGAGAAGTCAGGCTTATATCCCCCTTGTGGACCACGGCGTCGGATGAAAGCGCAATATCTTCACGTGTACTGGACGGTAACATCCCTAAATCCTTTATAATGCCCAATGAATAAAACTAAAGTCCTTTAAAATATAAATATCGTTGTTTTAGGCCGAGGGGAGGCATTTCTTCGTCATGGTGGGGGTCTAGCCAATATGACGGCGGAGACTGGAGCGGACACAGAGCCGGAGAGGCGGACCGAGAGGGAGGCGACTGACAGCGGGAAGGGCCAATGGAGAAAGCCGACGGGACAGCCACTTCCGACGGCCAAGAGAGGATAGGGACCGCAGGGACGAGCCATAGGACGAGCTCCGAGTGGGATCCCCGTGATAGGCGTCTCCCAGCGCCAATGAGCGGTGCGGGGAGACGAGGCTCTCCGCTGGCAGCTGCTTGGAAACGTGGAGAGGTGAGTGGTTTATAAAGGCCAGCCTCACTCACACGCACTGATGTCATGCAGGTTCGGAAGAAAGAGAAACGCCAACCAATGATGCTATTTGCTTTAAAAAAAAAAAAAAAAAAAAAAAAAAAAAAAAAGCACACACACTCAGCCTATTTTTACTCCCCTAGCCTATTAAAACTTTGCAATATAACTTACTGAAAGAGAGCAAAGCATCCAGAGTGAGACAGACACATTTATTTAACAAATGTGCAGAGAGACTACCTGTCCTGTCCCGTGTCTCACTACTAGTTTAGGGTGACCAGATTTTCACAATTCTAAACTGGGACACACCCGGGTTTTGATATAAATAAAATTGTGAAAACAGAGTGTAAGATTGTGCATAATCTAAGCAATTTCTGTTGCTGCATTTCACAACATTGATTTCTGGACAATTTATGCTCCTCTTTACAGTTGGCGGGGATCAGATTAGTCAAAAATTATGATAGTTCTGTTTTAGTCCTGGTTTAGAGTTGATATAGTCCTGGTTTAATCTTAGTTTAGCCCTGGTTTAAGTCAAAAATAGGGACAGTTGGAGGATTTCTTGTATAAAACTGGGATAAATCACTGGTTTTGAATAAATCTGATGGGACAGGGGACACAGGGCTCAAAACTGGGACTGTCCCGGGTAAATAGGGACATCTGGTCACTCTATACTTGTTAAACCTTCACAGTTTATAACTAAGATACACTTGTGAGGAATATATATAGTGAGAGCAGCAAGAAGATCCTGCGTTTGCACAGGGCCTTTCTGTGTGGAGTTTGCATGTTCTCCCCGTGCCTGCTCTGGTTTCCCCTGCCACTAAAAACATGTATAATAGGCTTCCCTCTGATGCCAGGACTCCCGCTGAGAGACTTTTTTGGTTAAATAAAGGTCAGTATGTCCTCTGCATTTGACCCATCCATCAATGCCACTGGGGTAAGCTGTTAGGAGCAGTGGGCGCCAACAGCTGATCCATTTCCAGGTCTTGAGCTAAGCCTGGTCAGGACGACAGCAGTAGTTGTTGTTATACAAATAATGTGAAGTTTGTATTTAAAATTTTTCTTTTAGCTTGTAATCATGTCCTAGCCTGATTCATCGGCCGATTTCACTTCATTTCACTTCGTAGAAACTGTCCTTGCCGTGTTAGAATTTGTTCGCTCGATGGTAGGGGGGTACTTTTTATCATTTAACCAATCGCTGCTATTTGGTAGTCAAGTATGTAATGCACCATTAATGGGGCTAACTGATATATTAAGCTTTTCCCGTTGGAAGAAGGGCAATAACATCTTTCCCCTTGATAAAATTCAACAAACATTCTCTTTATTCTGGCTTTAAATCCTTGATCTCAGGAATCGTTGACAACACTGAATATATGGCTCTTCGCTGATTGGCTGGTGCCTGAACTCGCACTTTCAGGGTTTATGCGAACCATCTACTGTATTTTGATTCCTGACCTAGTCACTGGAGAGAAATGAAATTGAGTGGAGGCACTAGGTGGCACCATCCTGGCTAATCATGTCGTGGAGTAGCCAGAGGAAACACACGCAGGCATGGAGAGAACACACAACTCCACACAGGTCAGAGGTGGTCAGGGGATCCAACTGGGCCTTTGCTGAGTGAATCTTGGAGCTCTGAATAAGCAAAGATGTCTATACATGAATGACTATCGCCAGCCTTTTTGAAGATACATTGCCAGCATCAGATCCTTTGCATTGTTACAGTCATGTTTCCCTCTGTGTCCCACCTTCAGCAATTTCTTTAACGTCTTCTTTTCTACAATTTTAGGTGGTCACCCTAGTCCCAAGGTGTTACTATGGTGAACCCTGCTCCCCTAGAAGTAGCATTAAATACCTTAATGGCTCAAATACAGGTGACAATTTATATTTTTGAACTTTCTTAATACAATCAAATTAATATTTAGATAGTATTTACAAGTGTTCTGATGATATTGAAATTAAGGTGTAATCCCTCATTCACCCACTGTAACGAATGATTCAAACATCTGGACATCTGGACACTGTTTTAAGATCACAGCAATGCAAAGGTGTTTCTTTTCTGTACATTAACATGATTGACACATTCATTAAAAAACACTTTCTAAATGAACTCTTTTGAGCTTTGAACCATGTTATAGCATTGCTCTCGAATTAAAAACATACCTGGACTTGTATTTCACTTCGTTCACACTGGTTTCTGTAATCCTCTGTAAGAAGTCCTTTGCCTCTGAGCCTGATAAAACACAAATTTTATTTGAGATTTCCAAGACTGTGATGTCAGAGATAGAAACCGTGTGCAGGTTTAAGTCCATAAATCATCGTCAGACTCGTTTTAAGCATTTCTGCCATCAAACCGCGTTCATTACTGCTGCAGGTTTACATTAACATGTCCGGACACGTTCCTCGTTACTTAGTGCAATTGTTTTTTTGCGGTAGATGACAAGCTGCACCACATCACCGTATACTGAGCACTGAGGCTATGCAATGTTTATTTTTATTTTTTTACTTAGCTATTATTTTAAGCTCTAAATCATGAAATTCTAAAGCAAAGGCACTCAAGATCATGTGTAAATGCCTTTAACAATACAGTTAATCCACTAAATATTTCTTCTTTATCATAAAGATTTGAAATGTGTCAGCGTCATTTAATTCTACGGACAATAGCAGCTTTTCTTACAGCAGATGCAGAACTCCTCCGTGCCCCGTGTCCATTCAGTCCAGGCCCTAAATATAACCCTGAGAGCTTCATAATTATGTGTCATTATCCAGCCCACAGCAGACCAGTGCATGTGTGTCACGGCTTGTACCACAGTTAATCCAAGAACAATTAAAACGTCTAGAGGGAGCACTGCGCGTCACATCACCCACACATGAGGTCATCTCCTGGAGCGCGCTCAGTCGCAGCCTTCAGAACCGGAGGAAGCAGTCTGAGTAATGCAGTAAGTGTAGGCTGAGAGTGAGGGGGATCACAGCCAATTTGGACACATTCACACAATGCATTTCCAGGGTGTAGTTAGTAGTAGTTTAATGGGAGGGAAGCTGCAGAGGTGGATTGGAAAAGTCGCTAAATGTGTGCTCAAATTAAAGCAGTCAAACAGTAAAGTAAACAGTAAAGTAAGGTCACCATTCAAAATAATATTCAAGTATACGATATGTGGTCAAAATACTACCAGGTATGTTGTATTTATACTTTGCAGTGACATCACGCTGGGAGATTCTACATAGGGGTGGGTATCATTAAGAAGTTGCCGATACGATACATATCTCGATACAGTGCACTTTTGGTTCGATATAATACATTTTAAATAGATTTGATACAGTTCAATAAAAAATAAAGGCCAAATCATGGTTGTGATAATAAAAGTCTTTGTTAAAACACTTCTTGTGCAAAGTTAATATGAAAAAATGGCCATTTTATTAATCAAAACTGTGAAAATGTTAAGTGTGTTGCATAAATTAGTTTCCTTCCACTGAACAAGCAACAAAACTGTAGCACTGAAACAAAATAAATGAGTAAAATATACCAAAAAATACTCTTGGTGACATATCGATACATCAGCCCACTATATCAATACTGTATTATCACATTAAACAATACAATATATCAATATTTCGATATTTTTGCACACCCCTAGTTCTACATGTATGTGTATTGGCAGAATGTTCACCAGTTACCATGGAGATAAAATGTACACATTACCAAACACTGCCAAATAAGTTTTAAGATTGTCTGAAAACTCAAGAAAAAAAATACAGAATGGATTTAAACAGCATGTTGTCAGTAGTCTGTGATCAATATGAGCATCCTGTTGATTAGTGTTTGATTTTCAGGACAAAAGGTGAGCGTGACTCAAAAACTGTTGGTTAATACTTGGTAGCCAGTCACTGTAATACTGTTTTTGAGAGTAACTTTTTTTTACATCTCAAAACAGATCAGATCATGTTGTAGTTCCAAGTCAGCTCTTTCTGGTCAGATAAAGTCTAACTTGCGCAATAGACAGAGCAGTGCTTACAGTTATCATCACACCCTCAAAGAATGTTGATGTCACCAGCCGCAAATTATCAAGTCGTGGTTTTCAAATTTTCCGATCCTATGACGCTATGACGCTTTCATATCCTCAGACGGGGGGGCCGGCGATGGGAGTTTCCCATACAGACTACATCAGGTGTGGGCAATTTTTTTTCCATGAGGCCACATGAGAAACATAAGCATTTTGGCCCAGACTTTCACAATATTTTAACTCAGTTCTGCATAATTTTAATTGTATTTCTTTATAAAAAGCAGTAAATAGCATTGTTTTCACGCGCTGGTAAGACTGGTAAGAGCTTATGTTATGAAAAAGTGAGATTTCCTTACAAAAAAATTTATTAAAAAAACACCTCTAAAATAAAATTAATGCAGCTTTAGTCCATGCATGAGGTAAAATTATGAAATATGTTTATTTTGTAATTCCAAATGAGCTTAAACGGGCCGGTCAGAGTCAACCAAAGAGCCCAATCCCCAGGTCTGGACTATATGGTTGGTCCATTCTCAAAAAATATATATATTTAAAAGGTAAATTCACAAATGTTTAACTGTATATTAGTGACTGGGCCTAAGACATCGCTAGAGAAACACAAATTCATTTTAATAATATTCATTTAGGCAGCCCCCTATCTATGTTAAATGTTACTGGCCTATATAATGTTATAATTTCATTTAAAAAAAAACAACAAAACATAGAAGTTACAAGTAAACATGTAAAACAACAAGGATTTCATTTTTATAAAGTAACAATTGCTCTTTATTTTTTATTTTGCCATGCAGAACATTAAGAACAAGGTCTTATTTATAATGCTGACCTGAGTGAACTTTAATAACCAAATAAACAAAAAACTTGCTTGTCCGTCAAATGACTGAATCACTGAAGGCAAAAAGCCCAAAGCACAGTGACAGAAGATTCATTCTTTTTACTTTTCAGAGTATGGAGACGAAATGGATTGAATTCCTTGTGTCTTTCTGCAGAAGCTGAAGAATAGTCTGGGTCAAGTCAAGTCTAAACATCTGCATGAGCCGGTTTTGCCCCCGGTCTGAAAGAAAATATGTTGAGTTTTTCTTCAAGATGCAAAA